TAAATTCGATAAATGTCAAGTGCGCCATCCCTGTAAGTGAGAAATTCGTCCGTGAAAATCACGAATTAGCGATTAGAAAATGTGAGATCGCAAATCACTCTCACAAGTGCGTACAATCTGGAAATCGTTTTCTTACAGATCGCTAATTTGTAATTTTTTAAGCCTGAATTCGGCACTAAAACATGAAGATACTGATTCAAAACGCTTTTAATCGATTTGGGCCAAAGAAATCTCTCATGTTATCTATCTAGTTCCATTGCATTCTCCTACTGCATTCGATTGCATAACAGTCATTTCACACCGTTTACTGTTGAATGACAGCTAGTTTTATAACAGAACCATTTTTTTCTGAAGAGCAGTCGAAAGCTAGACTACTGCGATTGCAGCTCACTTAGAGTCAATATTAAAATATTTCGTGATACATGAACTGCAGTAACGTGGCATTTTAGATACTACGATTTTTATGCAGGGCTGGGCACCACCTCAAGAGTGTCGCATAGTTACTTAGGCAACATTTCACGAATGAACGTCTTATAGGCCAAAACTTCCCCTCTTCCTACCAGACCTCAACCTCTGTGACTTTTGTCTATGAGGTTATCTCAAAAACACTGTTTATGGTGATAATCTAAACAATTTGGCAGAAATGAAAAATGTGATACACTGATAACTTTCCTCCTGATATGCTATGTGTAACGTGTATACGAGCCAGTTTCCCTTAAAAAGTCCTCCACGAAGGCATCCCTCCCTTAAGGCAGATAGCCCTCGAGTGCTTTGCCGTAATCTAATAAACCAAACCAAAACCAAACCTGATAAGCTAAGAGCTGCTGTTGAGAATGCAGTAACATGATTTAACTTGCTTTCGGAAAATGCTAGACGCTACATTGAACATGCTTTGTAACACGTTTCGGAAAATATTAAACACATTTTAAACAGATGTTTTCGTGTCTTATTTCATTTAACAATATTGCATACAGCGCCATTTCTCCCCTGATGGTGAGTTTTTGAAGTCTTTTTTTTCCGCCGAAAATAAATTCCCATAACCTCCTTTACACGATTCCCAAGTTTGATAACATTTGGTTCGGTAGTTTTCCTTTTATGACCATTTCAAATTGAAACTTTAATTATAACCACCATGTAAATTAAACTTTAAAAGTTTGACAGTTTGGTTTAAGTCCCAGCTTTAAAAATTTATATATAAATATAATCTTTTATATTAATCCTCTTAGAAAGAATGTTTAAGAAGCTAATTTTTCTCTCGCGTTATAATGACTGTATAAAAAAAACATGATCTTTAGTATGATTTAGATTGTTTCAGCCGATATAAGAATCGGGTTACTCGGTGGTACAGAATAAACCCTGCTGGACTGTTTTATTTCTTTGTCATTTAGCAAAAATCTTTTAATTAAAATATTTATCCTTTGTACTTCGCTTTAATCTTTATTTATAGCTAAAATGACTAGAAAATGAAAAGCTGTCTTTAGCTGAAACGTAATTCATACGTTAATTGAATTTTAAAAAATTGACAAGAATGCAAAATGTATGGAAGTCTAGCAGTCGAAAAATCTTAATTTTCTTGTGTGAGCACTGAAAATAACTGTAGAAGGAAAGAAGAAAATTAGGGAGAAAAGTAAGCAAAAATTTGCAGGGAAATTTGGCTGTCAGACATACCAAGATGTTCAAAAAGTTGGACGCTTTCGAATATACTTTCAGGATACTTCAAAGAGTTTAGGTGTTCAAAGAGAAAACACTTGGACGTGTACACCAGCAAATACCATCAATTGAGCTTGTGTTAACAGAAAAGACAAAACTATATCATTGCAGATTAAAGTGAAGAGCGACTGGTTTTAAACTATATGGTTGTGTAAATTACGTTATAGAACATCATATCGTATCATAAATGGTGAATCCAATGATTTTCTCAGTCGAATTATTTGAAGATTCAGGAGTTTATCCAGTGATGTATGTGGATGTCACCTAAAGATGTTTTTTTTCCCTTCCTGATGAAACAGAGGCCGAGCGGTAAAGTCGCTGAACACTGGTAGTTCGGTCCGAGGTTCGAATCCCGCGAACGTGCTGGCTGCATGGGCGTTTTCGTGGTTTTCCCCATGTGTAACGTGTATGCGAGCCAATTTCCCTTAGAAAGTCCTCCAGGAAGGCATCCCTCCCCTTAGGCAGATAGCCGTAGTGTGCTTTGTCATAATAAAATAAACCAAAACCTTTTGATGAAACCAGTCTTTCCTTTCATCTCATACCTTCAAAATGTTTAGCCTCTAAAGGCTCTGACGAAATACTTCGTGAAGAACTTTCTAAGGGAAACCAGCTGTCATACGCGGTACACATGAGAAAATCCATGAAAACGCCCATGCAACCAGCCCGTTTACCGGGGTTCGAACCCCGGAGTGAACTACCAGTGTTCAGTAACTTTACCGCTCGGCCGTTTGTGGGCCTTTATGAAATGGAAGGAGATAACTTTATTTAAAATTATTGTCAGAAATACCAAAATGTTTCGAAAAGTTGGATACTTTTCAATATACTTTCAGAATGCTTTAAAGAAAAGAGAAGAAAAAATAAATTTTTTCGTAAAATTTAGTATTCGTATTTCTTTAAATTTAAAACTTTTCAATCTTATGATATTGATTCTTGCGATTTCAAAAATAAAATATTTGACTAAAATATGAATAATATTTTAAGAAACCAAATGTAGGATAAAATTGTGTAAAGCAATGGGCAGAATGATAAAACTGTTTAAAGCAGTGTATGCAAGGTCATCCTAAGTTAAAATATCGGTTATACATCTCTCTTATTTATATATATTTTTTCTGAACGGAACATTGAAAGGCGTGTAAAACTGTGCTTTACTGTATTTTCTCTTTTAATATAGCATGCAGTTTTCAAACGCATCGTAGTCTGGGTTACAAAGTATTCTTCCGAAAGAAACGCAGTTCAAATAAATAAAATCAAATTCTGGAAAACTGATATTAATAAATATATTTAAAATGCTCAGTTCGAAGGAATAAATAGAAAATTTTAAAACAATTATCTGAAGAGACAATGCAACACAAACAATTAAAATAAAAGTATAAAAATTTAAAAATAAAATGACCTAAAATAATAACTATGACGAAAAATATATATAAAGAAAACTATTTGAAAAAAAAATAAAAAAATAAACGCTGCACCTTTATTTACGCAGTTCGAATAGGTAAATAGAAATTTTTAAAACAGTTATTCGAAAAAAAAAAACAAAAAAGTGCAACTTAAACAATTAAAATGAAATTCGAAAAAGAAAAATTTACTTAAAATAATAAGTTATAATTAAAAATATAATATAAAGAATATTATTGGAAAAAAGGAACGATGGTGACTTTTTTTCCTCTCACTTGAAAGGAAACTAGGTTGCCATATATCAAGAAGTTCGCCAAGTAAAGTATTCTTGGCGCAAACTGACAAAAAAGTGCCAACATAAATTTGTGAATTTCTCCGTAAATTTCGCTCCAAATTTTACAAAATTTCATATTTAGGCGTAATTTGAGTCGTAGAATCGAAATATGTAAAAAACGTGGTATGTTATTTCAGAAAAAGTCCGATTTTGTGTCAAAATACCTATGTTAGAATAGTGCTATATATAAATCTAATATATATCCTAAGTCGCGCTTTCGAGACATGAAGAGAGCCCACCAGCGGCCGAGCGGTAAAGACGCTGAACACTGGTAGTTCGGTCTGAGGTTCGAATCCCGCGAACGGGCTGGCTGCATGGGCGTTTTCGTGGTTTTCCCCATGTGTAACGTGTATACGAGCCAGTTTCCCTTAGAAAGTCCTCCACGAAAGGCATCCCTCCCTTTAGGCAGATAGCCCTTGTGTGCTTTGCCATAATTAAATACACCAACACCATCGAGACATGAAGAACGCAGTTTGAATTTTGTCAATCGGCCCAGTAGATCGGGAGATATAGGACTGTCCCATTTTTTTTTTTTTTTTTTTTTTTTTTTGAGCAGTGTACATATTTCCAGTCATTGGCGGGTATATGCTGCACCCTTAATATTCATCTGCTTTCTTGTGAAAAACAAGAATTATAGAACCCTTGTGAATTATAGAACGGTTACACCAGAAAATAGGGTACATTCTCACCACAACCAAACAAAAAAATCTCAGCAGTAATAATATGATAATTCATATTTTGTTTTACCTGCAATCAAAGGATGTATAAAACAACTTTTGTAATATTCGTTTAAGTATCCGTTAAGTAAAAGTACTAGATAATAGAGTTTAGTTTGTAATATTCTGTAATAATATTCTAGTACTAGTTTGTAATATTAAGTAAAAGTACTAGATGAATTAATAGAATAGTTTCACAGCTTGTTTGCAATATAAATATAGTTTGCTTTTGTATAAGGATCTATCCAAACGTTCGCAAAAGCTAGGAAGGGATACAATCGTCTAAACGATTGCAGACCTGCATACAGTTTTTGACATAATTTTAATTACCGTGTGCGCTCTTTTTCAGGCAATGAATTTCAAATTCTTTTCAAATTCTTATGATTTTTTACTATATATTGTTGTGTTTCGTGATTGAATTAATTATGTAAAAGAATGACGGTTTAAAATTTCGTGAAAACGGTACAAAGGTGCTGTTGAAGCATAATAGGCTTTAGCTTCAACAGCTAATCTGAAAGTGATTTTGGTCACACTAACCTACAAATCGTAAACTACTGTCGAAAATTGCGCCAAATATCGGATTCTGCATCAGAATATTGTGTCTGTTTACACCTTGTTTGCCATGCTGTAGTTTTGGCTTTCAGAAATCACTTCTGTTATTGCCAAATTTAATTATTTGCAGTTTGCTTTTCTTAGAATAAATATTAGAATAAATTTCTCAGAATAAATTTAAAATAGAAAGTTAAAAAGGGTAAAATTTAACATCCTAAAATAGGTTCATAGAAAAATCACAATAATAAATGCTGTTACAAAAATTTACCTTATCAAGCGATTTTTATTAGGAGAAAGACTCTGGAATCGACGAATACAATGCACAGAAAATTCTGAAGGATATTAAAATGTGAGAGATATCTTAATATATGTTGAAGATAAATTTATGAACTTACGAATATCTATTCTCATGTGTATACATATATTCATAAAATGTGCAGACCTTCTTTAAATAAATTTTTTGTCTACATTTGCAGTACATTTTTGCAATAAGTTTGTAAAGATTATATTTACAAATGGAACGTATATCTCAACAAAAATTACTGATTTCATTAAAGATAATTGCATTGCTTAAATTCAAGGGAACTGATATAAACTATTTCCCAATTTTATAAGTATTCATCTTCGGAAGAAGATTCAGAGACATTGTCAACATTTTCCAAATTTGTGCTCGTAAGTGAAGCAGCACTCCTTTCTGTTGTTTCGTCACAATTTGCAATCTCACACCACTTTTCAAAGTCAGCCTTAGATTCTTCTCTTATGACAATAATCTTGTAAGCACAGAACGTTCCAAGAGCCATCACAGAAATGAAAATTATTACTCCGATAATAATGAGCAGATTCTTGTTGCTCAATAGTTTCATGTACTTCGGGACTGCAGGAAGCACTTTAAGTATAAATACATTCGTGATCCACTTCCTTCCTCGGGCTTTGTCCTGTATCTGGCATGACCAAGTCCCTTTAAAAAACATGCAAGTTGTCAGAATAAAAATTAGTAATTAAAATAATTCTACAACCTACAATTCTATAATATGTTGAAGAATAAAAAAATACGCTGTTATAAAAAATCCACTTTCACGTTTGTGAAACCACTTACTGTTAAGTTTCCCATGGTAACATCCTTTGATATTCGCCAGATTTCTAAGCCATAATTTAATTAATGGAAGTCAAACAACAACAACAAAAAACAAATTTGTGAAGTCAAACAACAAGAACAGGGTTATATTAGTAAATTTTCGGGGACTAGTTTCGGTGAGTTAATTACCAAACCATCGAAACTAGTCATGAAACATTTATTAATGTAACGCTGATTCTTGTTGTTTGACTTCTCCAATAATTCTTATTCGGCGTGGTGTTTTAATCTAAATAATAATCTAATTCCTATTGCATCTCGTTTAACATATACAATATATTGGATTGCACATCAACAATGACTTTGGTTTTTCACTTATTTATACAAGTAGGCAAGAGAGTAGATGAGCTTAATTTTCCGCTCTACATTACAGGTTCTAAGTTTGGGAACAAACTATCTTTTATACTGTTGTTTTCCTAAAGCAACAAAACGAAATATACCTAGAGTAAGTAACAATGAAGACACAGATTCACAGTCGAGGTTCAGCATGTACACAAGTTTAACATTTCAGCATTCGCTGCACATAGGTTGTATTTCAGAGTCACCTATGAAATAGCTTTGCCTAATTATGAAATGTAGTTACTTTTAGAAACCGACAATAATTTATAAACATTCATTATAGTCATCTTAAAGATAGTTAATTCATATAAACTGAGAGTCCTTCAGCTGTTTGTTAAAGTTTGATAAATGTTTAAGATCTGAGTAGAAAAGGGTTTTCTAATATAAAATTTACTCTCTTTTCGCCACCTGTGCTGACAATGTGCTTGCTCACTTCAGTTATCACTTCAGTCACATTCTAATAGAGAATGCCCTGGGAGATGAAATCTGAGTATCTAGCTTATCCAGCATGTATCTGTTCTAGTTCAAATGTAACTTATCAAAAGAACATTCGTATCGTAGGATTTTTAAATCTCTCCATTCCGAAAGACCTTTTTTCATTTAAAATCTCTATAGATTTCCAAAACTCGGAACAGAGATTATTGTGTGAAATTGGTTGTCTTTGTCAGCTAGACTGTTTGAGAAGTGCGTAGAAATTAATCGTTTACTTCTAAGGTTGTAAGAACAAGTCCAAAGAAGGGTTAAATTATCCTTTTATTGTACTCAAAAATATTTACAGTTGCTCTTTTCGGGCTAACTGGAAGGAAGCCTTCACTTGGGCTTTAACTTAAGACAGAAAATATGAAACTAATTAATGCTAACTTACTAAAAACTAGCCGATGCTGCACATAAATAATAAACAGAGTTAGTTCACTCAGTTAAAGCTCACCGGCGAATACTACCAGGCACATTACAATACGGCCGCACGTAGTAAGCAACGACCTAGCCAGAAGGCAAAATACGCTGAACTAAGAACTTCTAAGCTCTTCTATAGAAGCGACAGAGACTAACTCTTAAATACTGGTTCTATCTCATTTACATATAACGTGATGATACTAAAATCTCATTTTGGCAGGGAGTTAGAGGTGGAAAACAAGAGGTTAAAGGAAAGGGTTTCAAAATTATAAATAGCTATTAGAAAATTAAAATAATACCTACAAACTCAAAACGAATACCCTCATAAAGACATTTCTCTGTTATATTTCAAGAGAAGATGTTTATATTTTGATAAAAGGCAAGAGTGCATATTGGTACTCTTATTGATATGCCAAATACCAATTCGTAAATTAAATCAAATTTTGAGGTCAAGTTCAACCCCCCACAAAAATGTATAAATAAATAAAATAAGTAAACTACATTTAAATTGTATTTTACTAACAATATATCCATTGAGAATTTACCTAAAAATTTTTATATATTAAACATTTTCAACTTTCACTGCGCTTCTGTTAAGCAATTTTGAAATTTGCAAATAAATTATTTGGTACAAAAGTATATAAAACGTCTATCTAATTTTTTTTTAATTTTCATTTATACTATACGAACTTATATTCTATCCAGAACTCCACTGTGGCAGGGAATTGTAGGTGGGGAACAGAAAAGTAAAGAAAACTGTTCAAGATTAAAAATAACTGTTAGGAAATTAAAATAACCCCTACACAACCACTAAACATGTACCACTCAGAAAAGTTATCTTTAAAGAACACGCTCCAAGTTCAATAGCACATCTGCAAAATATGGTAATATTTCCTTCATTGGCTATGTGTAAATGTGAGTGAAGATTAATTTCATACATCATATATTAAGAAGCAGAACAATTTTCAGAACTCCAACTGCAAATTTATTAAACTAATATAAATCTGTATGTTTCGAATGGGCTAAAATCCGGGATCTTTCTGGTCATCTCAGAAACCGTGCATATCCTCTGAACTATCTGTATCCAATTTCTCTATTATCTACCAAAGAACGTATTTCATTAACTATGTGAATGTTTTAATTCTTTATTAAAACTCTGGAATTAAGTGTTAGCCTCTCATTTCCCAGTATTATTAGAGGTGGGAAAAGTCAAAGTTCGAATAACTAGATCTTGTCAAGAGTTTGGGGACACTGTAAGAATATTTGGAATATGATATTTTACCAATATTTTTTTCTTTTCAATAATATTTAATACTTTTAATAAGAGAAACATTTGCAGAACGAAATGATTTCATGATCATTTTAAAAAATGTTGTATTTTATTCTATCCCTGAAAGGATAGCAGTCACGTTTAGTAAATGTGTGCCAGTTTCAAAAGTTTTAAAGATGTTTGCAAATGCCTTATTTCACAAAGCCTAAATATCTTATATAAAAAATTACATGTTAATTAAAATTATAACATGTTTACTTTGCTTATTTAGGGTTTAAAATCACTTATTTGACCAAACAAATTGGCTTTTGATAAACCTGTATAATGTCCTTTAAATAGTTTTAATTTGGCATAATTTGGTATAACGTAATGCACTGAAATAAAGCGTTTTGATATGACCTCAGGCCAGAATGGGAAGTAATATTATGGAAGTAAAACGTATATATTCGCTTCTTAGCTTTTGTGCCTTTAGCTTATTATTGTAGTTAATATATTATTAAAAGTACAATTTGAAATTCCCATAAAACTGAAGAAATACTGGAAAGTTAATGCAGATACAAGCATCCAAATTTTTCAGGACACATCCTAACGGTAATGTTACTTTGTACTGAATTATTTTATACTTATTTTATGCTGAATTTGCTTCTCTGTAACATATTATATTTTATATGTTAAATATTTCGGAGAAGCACAACAAAGAAGAATGGCTGAGAAGAATGTTTTGGAAAGACATAAAGGAGAAAAATGGAAAAGAAGAAAAATATCTTATCATAATATTCTTCTTGTTATGTTGTTCCATCTTTATAAGAAAACCGATGCGTTTGAACAGATATTTTTTATAAATATATGCATATGTTTTGAAAATCAAAAGTGAAAGATGAAAAATTTCATATACGTCGATAAAAACTGGAAATGATAAAAGTAAAAAAAGGTCACCATGAATCCATAAGACCACCATTTGGAAACTAATATCAGGGAATTACTATGTCTTAGGAAGTAAATGATTCCAAGTTTTAAATGTAATTGTATTCATAGAGACAGCTTCAGAACCATTTTGTTGTTGTTGTTACTTATTCTTACTTGTCTGACAGTAACATCACCTCAAGCCCACGAAATTCCTTCTGGAAAGAAGTGCTAAATACGCCTGTCTTGAACACCTGTAAGGTGTTCAAGGCAACAGCCTTGAACACCTTACAGGTGACAGCGCGATTTTGCTCAATATCGCCCCCAATTTTGATGGAGAGCACCACCCCGGGGAAAGAACGGGTCCGAGCGGCTTCGACTCCTCTCCCCTTCCACCTAACCACACTAGAGGACTTTCGGTTCACCGCATATTTAGAGTGTTCCCATGCCGCACCGACACTATACATTTACAAACATACATGCCTTCTCCGAGATTCGAACACAGACCCTTAGGCCCTTAGGCGAACGCGGGTCCTTCGGCACGGCAGTCAGCGACGTTAACCACTATACCGGTTGGGCGGCGAAGCATTTTGTTGCAGATATAACCATTCCGTGCTCCAATATATCCTTCCCTATTTGCTTTCATACGCAGGTTTTGAAAGGAGTTGAAGTTTCAGATTAATTTCCCTTAGAGTATTTTCAGATCATTGCTCTCAAACAATATGTCTTCTAATAAATACTTTTCCACATTTGCTAAGTTATCTTTTATCTGTTGAAGAGGTACCTAATAGACATGCCAAAGTATACGCTGCTTTTATGCTATGCATGCTATATGGATCCTAAGTGACTATCTACTTAAATCATATACGACACACCTGGTAGAGGCTTCACCATCACGTGAACGTTTCCGTTTCACTGTTGTCTGCTTGTCTTTTCATTGCTTTTAGAACAATAAAATAATTCCACATATTTTTTCCAAATACCTGCCTTCCTCTTCATTCTTCACATCCCTACTTTTTATATGTATTTGGGAATCGAGTTGTTTTATGACGTTCTCGCTGCCAAATCCTTAAAAGTTTCTTTAAAAGATATGTTATCCACATATCCTTTTATATTTGTTGTCATTTGTCTGTTACATATGAATGCTAAATGATTTTAAATATGTTTATAAATGAAATGGCGAAGCCCTTTAGAAAAAGAAAGTTAAATTATCGAAGCTTCAATATCGAAGCTTCAATAATTCCAAAACCTAAACGGTAAAAACAAGCCAAGTTAATTTTAAATCTGGCAAAATCCATGGTAAAATAGAGTACATTCAGAGATAATTTTATCAAAAACTGCATCTCTTCGAAGATCCAAAATCTAAGTTATATACTCAGTTTAAAACTATGTCAGTAGAGTTTATTCCACATTTTTATCAAAGAAAAATTTTGAAAAGCTTGTTAGTCGCTTACATTCATATATAATTCATACGTACCTGTCATATTCGGAAAGACCTCTTTAATTTTATACATGTTTACTTCAAGAGGAGATTTTTTTCCAAAATCGGCGAAGACTTTACCATTGTGGAGCCACTTTTGTGAAAGATTCTTAAATATTTTGGCTAGCTGAGCTCCATGGCATACTAGCATTAGTTGCTCTTCAGCTAGCACCTCTGCATTTGGTTCTGGAGGTACAACCGTCAATGCTGCTACTGACACGGGTTTCACAACAGCGGAAGCATATCGCATACTACAAACGTAAACGCCATTATCTTTTGCAACAAGTTTTTTGATCGATAATTCTAAGGGAGTGACAGTCATACGCTCTTGATCCAGTTTCAGAATCTTACCGTTCTTTGTCCACATAAGTATAGCTTCAGGATAGTCTTTATATACACGAGTGACTACTTGAGGGGTACAAGGAATGTTCACAGAATCGCCCTCCCTTCTTTCAAAGTTCAGATGCACCTTAAAAAATGATGTTCATATATTACATTATCATTTTGTAAATTATACTATAATAAGTTTAATATAATTATATAATTATTGTTTAAATATATAATATTAAGTATGTAAAAGTTACTGTTTTTTAATTAAATATAAGTAAAGTTTTACACTGCATAAACATGATATTTCTAAAGAAAAGAAGAAATCGGGTTTTATTGGGCTTCTGTTGTGTTATATATTAAACAATCGAAGATCGCTTTGCATTGGAATAGTGAAGTTATTGGTTTATGAACTGAAGCTGTCTCACGTGTGCTTTGTGTTTCAAATGGCAATTGATTTCAATTTACTTCTGCATCTTTCAACATCTGTTGCTTAAAAAAATCTCTAATCAAATTCTGTTTCCTGTCAAATATGCTTGAAACACTTTTCGTTTAAAGTTACCTTTTGTTGTTGAATAAGAATATGAATAATACGTTATATAAACAAATCGTTGCTGAACTCCATATGACCGGAGATTTGCAACTTAATGCATTTGCCGCACATCTCCAAACTCGTCATTCATTTAGCTGTCTAATCACCGATAATGTTGGGCTGGATGCACCCCAGAAGGCGATCGAATAATACCCAACAGAAAGCCTGATCATTCCAGTTTTGATTGAGAACAGCTAAATAAGGATTAAAGAGTCTCTTAATTCTCTCCCCCTGCCACAACCTCTCAAAACGACTTTCGGCTCAAAGGTATTTTATGTGTATCCATGTCGCAAAGGTACTATATACTTACAAGCATCAAGCCTGCTCTGGAATTCGAACCTGGACCCAAGGTTATACCAGCTGGTTTTCATATCACAATGAAACAGAGTGCCTTGCTATTGAACTAAATTTGTCTAAAAACCAACATGATGAAAATACTAAAAAGAAGAAATATAGTCCTTAACGTGCAAATAATTCATGCTGTTTCTTCTAAAGAACTTAAATTTTCACTGGTGAATTCGAGCAGCAGTTTTCATATGCAAAATTAGCAACACTGGAGCTAACATAGTTTGTAATTAAAAAAAATTCATATCAGAAGAGTTTGTGAAATGTTTAGGTATATGTTAATGTATTCAAGTTTATAAAGTATATTTTTACGCAATAAATCAGAAGATGTACTTTTTTTCTAAATAGACTGAAAGCATATTGTGCACACATCGCTTTACATGAATATTATGATAATCTCAATTAAAAATTAATCTGTACTGCCGATCAGGTTTGGCAAATTTTGGCTATTTCGTGGATTATTTTATGATGTGTGTTTTCGCCATGGGCAACATCATGACTTTTGTTTTACTTCTTTAGCCAATATTCAAGAGTTTTTTTTTTTTTTTTTTTTTTTTTTTGAAGAGTTATCATAGCTTATCTTAAGGGGACAAGGGACGTTCAGATTCGTAAATTTCCTTCAAAATTCGAAATTTCATTTTTTGTTTCTAAAAATAAAGAATAATGTAAGTGATGTTTACAAAAAAGAATTTTTAAGTTGCGATGAAAATTAAGCAATTTATAAGGAAATCTCGTTTTTGACATGGACATTTAAATGCGTTTAAAGAGCATTCAACCTTTTGAAGACGGGATGGCCATTATAGTGGCCATAGAGTCCTCTCTTTGAAAAGACAGGGTTGTCCACTTTAGTGGCCATGTCTTTTTCCCCCATTTGCCAGGCTGAAAAGTGGAGTGAAATTTGACATCCCTAGGGTTTTAACCACTTATCTGTTTCAAAGGTCTTCCTTTTGCGACATAGATGCACCCCTCTACCAAAACTACCTATACCAAAACTACCTCTACCAAAACTACCAAACTTTACTGCTACCAATGCAATATGCATATTATTCTTTCCGTGAATGGCAACAGGAACTACTTCGAGTTTTGTTTACATTTAGCGGCACGGCGAAGTTCGTTTGGTTATATTTGTCATTTGTTTTTATAAATCGAAAGTGTGCATGCTGTGAGTTCCAGATGGCGACCTGTGTCCAGTTCTTCAAAAAAAAAAAAAAAAAAGGAAACTTGCAAGCGATAAAGCAAATAAAAGATGAAATAAATGCAAAAGTGAAACTGGTGAATGTTTTGATACTGGTTTGCCCAAATTATGCATTCCAAATGCTGATGTTTCACACCATTCTGATGTATAGATGTGTTACTACATTCTGATTCTGCTGACACGCAGAGTATAATTTTAAACAATAGTAAAATGTCCAGGACTGAACAGAAGTTGTGTTTCTTCAGTAACGCTGGAAATAATGATGATTTAGTGGAAAATAATGCTTCTACTTACACTGTCATGTGTGATAATATGTGGATTCATTTACTGAAACAACTCTACCAATATTTAGAAAGAGTTTGACACGCTTTTGTTTCAAATTGCTTTTGTGCAATTAATCAAAGACTTGGATAGATTAAATCCATTTCATTTATATAATATTGTATTTGCAATGCTATGCAGAATAACTAAAGAAATTTTTAGACAATAATATTTGAAATATAGGTAAAAGTATGTTAGCAAGTAAATATAAGTCTACGTGATGTACCGTGTGTTATGCTTGTCTGCAGAGGATAGCACATGAAATTGATTCTGTTTAAACCAAATGAACAAAATTGAGCTGAGAAAGAACTAATAAATGAAGTAGTAATATAATAGAATGCAGAAGCATTTATGTTATGTAAGGTCCATACTTGCTTGTTGCAAAAGATAATGTCATTTTATGGTATGTAAGTAAAAGTAAATCTTCATATTGTGTTTTCACGGATTTCAGATTTTTGAAATTTTTTAGTACTGAATTTATCTCTTGCGTTTTAATTGTCATCGAATTATTTTCATACTTGATTTATATCATTCCAATACTATGCATCCATTTTACTATTGATGAACTTTTCTAGGAATTGTTAAGCTTTTCTTAAAATAACGACCCAAAAATATTCAAAAAATTGTGAAAAATTTAATAAATAATTTATTTTTCAATGATGTTTCATCCTATTTTAAAATGCATGCCCAATTTTATTTATCATTTGATATAGATTCATTAGGAAAATTATTGTAGGTTTCTGATTAATTTTTATGCGTAAGGGGCTATATGAATATAAGTATAAAAAAGTAAAAATACATAAAATTATTGTAGGTTTCTGATTAATTTTTATGCGCAAGGGACTATATAAATATAAGTATAAAAAAGTAAAAATACATAAAATTATTTTACTTTTTTTTAAAAAAAATTTACCTCTATCATTATAAAATTTTACATTTAGGTAAATGCATACACAATACACATAACTGAAAAATATTTTAAAGTTTGAACAAAAAGTAAGAATTTTTCATTTAAACGTCCCATGTCCCCTTAAGACCAGAAAAGAATTCTCATCATATTGCCTGCATTAACGTAATTTTTATAAAGTGCACTTTTGTAACGAGAGCAAAAAGATTTTACCATACAGGTTTCAAACTGCTATTTCAAATACATGTATTTTTAAATTAGTATCTTGAATTTTAAAACAATGGCATTCATTCTTGATATTCAGGCAAATCATTGGGTTAGTCAAAGCTGTTTTCGATTAGCTTACTGTTACTCCTAACAGTTTTTGAAGAAGATTATTAATCTGACCGTTTCTTCGCCATGATTTTATTTTCTAATGAAAATTACTATTAACAAATAAACATAATTAGAACGTTTGGTGTAATATTCCAGAAAATGTATCTACCTATTTCTTTTGACTTTCATATGTTCCATAAAATACATAACTTTAATGTAATAATAATTAATTTTCTTTGACTGTATTACTTTATAGTTTTCCGTGCACTGAGCATTATCTAAACAAATAACGAAAGCATACATGAATTAGGAAAGTTCGCAATAAAGGATAATATTAAGAGGAAGAAATGTTCCTCACTTTGCTTTATAAAATACATAATTACTAAATAAAATACATAATTACTATTATACATAATGCATTGCTTTAGGCTACGGAAAAAGAAGTGTTGCATGCAATCATTTCGCCGCGTTTTCTGTAGGTTACAGATTTCAAATAAAAAAGATTAAAAATCCGCACGTTGCTTCAATGCTTGTAACTTCAGACATTACCTTATCAACTGAATCCTTAAGTGCCTGCAGAGTTTCTGGCGACAGAGTGTATATTTCGTCTGGACATTTCTGTACATTGCACATTCCATCCTGCTCTGCTGGTCCTTCACAGGCATTGCCATTAAACATCGGCTTCGGATTAGTACACGTTCGTTTCTGTTTTCCCATACCACCACCACAAGATTTTGTGCATTCCCAGGCATTCCAAGTTGCCCATCCTCCATGCACAGGACATGTGATTTTGGTGTCACAGTTTTTTATTTGTCCGCCTGCTCCAGGGCAGCGCAGTTCTTTTTTCCTTCCCTCGTAGCTGCATGTTCTCACACGCCTTCTAAAACCTATTCCACATGTAACACTGCAGTTTTCTTCCCAAGAAGCCCAAGGCCCCCAGACACCTGGAGACTGTGTAGTCATCTTCTTAGATAAAGACTGTTTTGCGAAAATTAAAAAAATGACGAAAAACAGATCCTTTTTGCTCCTGAGAAAGGTAAAAAAAAAGTTTTGTATTAATAATAGGCATCAAATACATCAAATACATACATCAAATATAATAATATAATACTGCATAAGAAAAACATCTTTACGAAATTTTATACTAAGTACTAATCATAATTTAATTTAACACTGATGATTTCATGGAATATTTCTACTGAAAATCTTCACACGTTTCAAAACAGCTGTTAGGTTTTATGCTTATTAATTCATTATATTATTAGACCAGAAGGTATAATAATTTCGTTTTGGTATTTTGCGTCGAATCACTATAAATAGCGTATCACTTTTCAGATTGTTGACGCCAAATATTATCGTCCTATATTATATTTAAAAAAATTAAATAATGAAGAATCTGCATGACAGTATGTATGTTTCTGGCATTGTAATAAAACAACGGTACCTAGAGCCGTCAAATTTTGAATAAAGTAATCCTCCACCCAAATATGGGCGTCTAGAAGGTCAAATTTAGAATTTGGAATATTTTTTATTATCTATTTCATATTTTATAAAATTTAAACAATTTTTGGATTAAAAACTCAACGTTTAAAAAAAAATTACGCGAGACTGTGTACTGTGGTATTGTTGTTGAGTTGAATATGGTTTAAGTGCAAAGAACATTATATTTAATAAATAAAGGTAACACCCAAAGCGTTAAATAAAGTTCCTTGGCCTTAATATAAAATCTGAAAACTTTCAAAATTTTTTTATTTAATTTTTAATTTTTGGTCATCTCTACGTTTGTCAGCTATCTCTGTGATGCAAATTAGTTAACGAAAGGCTTAAAGAAGAGCTTTTTTGAATTTAAGTGAGAACTTTGTGACAGCGACAACTGACCGACTGCTTTCGCGCAACTTCTAGATTTATCAGAATGGGAAAGCTTTTCGTCAGTTATGTTTGCTTACCTGATCTGAGGATCTGAGTCAAAATTTACAGTAGGATCTTGTCTTGTTTTTTGGTTTGGTTACTAGGTTTACTAGAAACTACGGCAAAGCATACTAGACCTATTTGCCAAAAAAGAAGCATGCCTTCGTAGAGCACTTTGTAAGGGAAACTGGTTCGTATGCATGTTACATATGGGAAAAATCATGAAAACGCCCATACAGCCAGCCCGTTTGCCTAGAATCGCACCCAGTTCGGAAATACCAGTGTTTAGAGACTTTAACGCTGGGCCGCTGTTGGGCCTTGCCTTGTGAGGATAGGTACTAAAATTACCTATCTTGACTTTTATATTTTGTTATTGCCGCAAAGAGCGATGACCCGTTCTCTTATTTCACAAACCGTTTAAGTTGTTAAATTGAAATTATAATAAAATAGTTTATTTCAACTATGCTCCTGAGTTCGGTGTTTCTTCACTGGAAGATTAAAACGCGGTAAAAAGTCTCGGAATTGTCTACATGGAGCCAAAATTTAGCAATGAAGTACTAATTAGGTTAGCTACAAGGCTAATAAAGTCCTTCGTTTTTACGAAGAAAATAGTATATTAAATTTTACGAAGAAAATAGTATATTAAATAGAAATAGAACAAACAAAGTAAATTAATAACAAAACAAAAGTAAACGCATCATCTATCGAAGAAGGGAGAGATTAAAAAAGGAAAAGGTAAATGAGAAGAACGCTTTAAATGTCTTGGCAAAAATGAATTCGAATTAAAATTGTCAGTAAAGGCTGATAGAGATTCTGATGAACATGCAGTTCTTTAAATAAAGAACGCTTTTAGTTGATTTTAACAAAATTTGGACACTGAAAAAAAATAATTAACTGATTTTGATAAATGAAGATTTATTCATTTCTCTTTCTCTAATACAAAATTAATGTTCACTAATTTGAAAGTTTTCTTGGCCTGGTCAAGGTATGTTAAACAATACTCAATATTCAATTTCTTCATAAACTGAAATCTGAAATAAGATTATTAAGGGATAATTAAGAAATATTATTAATAAATAGCGTATTTTCTCCCTTCTTCGAGTATACTTTCGTAGAGTAAATGTAGCACACTCGGCGCGTATTCGAAAGGTCCGTGGTTCGACTCCCGGCGAGGACATCGCTCATTTTTCAGGTCTCTTGCTTCAAAATAACTTGTACAAATGACTTCAAAATGACTGTACAAATGTAAGGATCTTAAGTTTTACTAACGTTTATTTTATTTTAAATCTTTACTATCACTTCTTTTTTTCTACTTCCGGCCAGAATTATAAGATTTAAGGTTTTTATGCAAAGTTTGTCTGGCGAACGCCAAGTATTTAAGTTGTGGCTTTTTGCCAAGCGAGAGAGAGGAAGCAGTTGAGTCAAAGCAGGCCGCTTACCTTAGAAGTTACGCAGTTGCTGTTTGCCTTCCAGGCCAGAGGTTTTAACCCTCTTGATAAACTTAAACGTATTGTAGTGTTCACAGTCTCTGTACTACATACGCTTCCTGTTATTATAAGGCCAATCTTCCACGTTTATTATTCTAAAGTTAAATTAGAGTTTAGTTTTATTTTTATACTTTTACGTTAGACCCCGAGTAGCGGGTCGGTGTATTCCGAAGTACGGAAGTTATTGTATATAGAGAAAAATAAAGGGTTTTGTATACCCTTCGTCTGTATCCTGTCTACTTACCACAATTAGTGAACATAGCTTTAGTAAGCTCTCTGTTCCGAGTCAGGTCCTTGTATGTTCCCGAAGGAGGTAAGAAGGAACATTGACCCTGATATAAATATTAAAGATATGATTACTCAGATGTTGAACGTGTGTAAAATGTAAGTAGTGTTTTAAGTAATGGAAGAAGAAAAAGAACGAATAAGGACGAAATTACTGTGGTTATTGCTAGAGCGAATAAAATTTTGTATAATGGTGGTTATATTTGTCATAGTGGTTATTATGGAATGCAAAAATTTACTTCAGTGGAACAGATTTCATCAGATTTAGTGGTTCTAAATTTTTTCTGCTCCATGTACCCCTTCACCCCTACTAGATCATTCCCCCCCATCCTTTCCCTAATTCAAAAAATACATATGGATTTATTTCAATCATTTTTAACCTATTTTTATAAATAAAAGGTGTAGAAAACACGGAAATTCCAAAACGTGAATAAAAGCTTTTTTTGTGTTCATGAACTAAATCTAAACTCTTAAAAACAAAATAAAAGGCTAACCGCATTTTCCCCCGAAAGCATGGAATCCCTTCCCCCGGTTGAGAAGCCCTGACCTCGACAATAATTTCATTACTTTATTTTAGTGCCACCTGACAGTTCCTAAAAGGAAAAAAAAAGCCATTGCATTTCCATTTTCTAATACAGAAATGTTGCTGAGAATTAACTTAATTTTGTCTATAAATCATACAACAGGAGAGAGTTCTTTCTCTATTTTAAATTGATTTAAAGGTTATTAAGGAATTCAGCAGGACAGGAATGACTAATAGCTTTAGTTGCACTTGCTATAGAAAAGGGTAGCCCAAAACGGTTAGAGTCCGCAGGTATTATTGATCAGTTTTCTGATATTGAAATTTAAAAGCGGATAATTTAAACTTTTTAGAAGCTGAATAAAAGCTGTAACTTATATACATTTTTATAAATTTTTGTTACATTATAAATCCCTTATTGTGCAATTATTATTTCATTTATGTTCGTATTCGTTATTATTAATAAAACGTTTGAGGAACATTTAAATTTCATTACAAGCGACTTATATCAGTGGGACGCTAATCTAAATTTTGTTTAAGACCCGTTAGAGGATTATTCCAGCACTGCATGTTTACTAACAGATTCAACTTCCTAGTACGACACGTAAATTTCCTGAACAGGCAATTTTCCTTTATAACTCTGGAGATTCAACTGCAGCTATTTAATTTTACTCTCTGTAACTGAAATTAAAATCATCCTCTAGGATAGATAAATTATCATGAAGAAAAAAGAGGAAAGCATTAAAATATAACATAATTGTCAAAATTTCCTTTTTTCATTTAACTTTCTCTACTTTCGAACTATTCCAGTCGACCTCCCTTTTAATAAATGCAATAAATAACCTTTGCAATAAATGAATAAAGAATTACGATATATATATGTGGTAGAATTGCCGGGAGCATAACTGTTAATAGCATTATAATAATAATAATAACGTTAAAGAAAACAATGATTTCGAATTACTTTCTTATTTAAAAAAGCATTCTGAATATAATATGAGTTATATTTTGTGATGCGTATAAAACTATGATACATCAATAAGCCAAATTCGTTGAATTAAATGATACTACACTTCAATGCAGAATGAAAGAAACATATTTAGCTAGATATTAGCCTTCGAATTAACGTTTCGTTACAACCAAGAGAAAATAAAAATAATTTGATATAATTTGTCATAAAATGTTACAACAGAGATTTTTTTCTGCAAACCGCGTCTTGCAGGGATGTGATGTATTTCCTAAGAACTAGAAAAGATTGCAGATGGCCAATAATCTTCCTTCCTTCACTAATTTAAACGATAATCAGGTGATAACAATTAATCTTTTTATTCTCTCTTCTGTATGTAGATCTTCTCCAATACTCTAATATTACTCCTAAAACAATTAGTCGCTTTCTCAGATTTCTATAGCTCCTGAATATCCTTATTCATGCGCAAGTTGTAAATGAACTTCCTTTGCCAAATTAATCAGGTAAAAACATTTGAATGAAATAGTAGATTTATTTTTAAATGCCTCATAATTCTGATATATATATACTTTGTCTCCATAACGAAACTAAAGTGTTATTTATTATCATTGTTTTCTTTAAATGGAGCTGTTTCTTTCAGTTATATTTGGTTGTTCTCATAGGGTTAAACAGTTACATACAAATAGATTACTATTAATATATTACTAATACTACTCGTACTAATAAAGAATAATATGCAAACAGAACAGATTAGAATTTTAATAGGAATTGGATTTTACTGCTATACTTCTCCACAGTATCATGCCCCAGAAATAAATAAAAAAGTCAAATGGTATCAGTCCTTATTAAACGATT